CCAAGCCGTTAAGAGCATTTGGTATACCAATTCTGATGATAAGGAGGAGAATGGTAAGGGTAATGGGAGTGGTCTTGGTCCTGAGGGGGCAGAGGTCTCGACCATGGATGTGCCATTTTCGCTGAGCACTAAGCGGGTTTTTGAGGCTGCCGTGGAGTATTCGAGGACTATGGGGTATAATTATATTGCGCCGGAACATATTGCTGTTGGGTTGTTCACTGTCAATGATGGAAGTGCTGGCCGTGTACTTTAGAGGTTGTACATTTTGAATTAGCATAATTTTATCTATGAATGCTTTACTCGCTCAGAATTGCAATTTTTTTAGTGCTTTATATTGGTCTTATATGGACTGCTGAAACTATTGTTGCAACTTGTGATCGAAGCCAAAACTAGGAAGGGGTGGCAAAACAAGTCAACTGGGAGGTAAAAAGAATCACCCAACTCTGACTGTACATTTTGCCCCTGGGGCTTCCTTTGGCATATCTTCTGCCTGCTCTTCCCCAAGATCACCTGAGAGCTGCAAGCCTGCAACACCGATGGAAATGCCCATGAACCCATGCTCCAGAACAGCTATCACAGCACCCGAATGCATATGCACAGGGTCCAGAGCTCACCTACTGTCTGCAATCTTATAGGTCTTCAGCAATAGAACAGTGCTTCTAGTCTTCAGTTGTATCCTCAGAATTACTACCAAACCATCAGTCTTTTTGGTGTGCAAGAAACTTCAACTTGCGGTTGTACGTTAGATTTCAGGTGAGACCCTTTTGAGTTTCCATACTGTGAGTGTTAAACATCTTATTCTCTTTTTGCTACTGATGATATGGTCTGCAAGAGTTTAGAGAAGGCTTGGCTTCACATTCTCAGGCCCTGATGGATCAAATGACTGCTATTAGGGTAATTTTGATCATCCCTAGCTCCTGCTTACTTCCTTTTTCTCTTTTAATTTGGTGTGTATGGAGAGAGGGAGCTTATGTGCACGAGAATTCCAATTCTATTCTCTAGAATTATAACAGCAGAAGCTAAGCTTTTGTGCCCTTAACATAACGGAAAAGGGAAATGTGAGACGATTACTGATCACTTGTTGTTGGCAATGATTACATGACTATGGACAGAGGCTTGGACCACTTGCACTATTGGCAATGATTACATGGCTACTGAATAGGGTAGATTGCAAGTACCTTGTATTCTGCTTGAATGAGGAAATAAATAGTCAACCCTTCCATTCTGAAATACATGGTGCAGTTTTTTGTCGGTGCATTGCTTTCAAGATATGGACCTGTTAGTTTCATCCACAGGTTGTTGTCTTGCCCTTTCCTATTCAAAACTCTGATTACTTCTCTTTGTTTAATGTTCCTGTCAAATGCTTCGCTTGGGGTCATACCTGGTTGTGATGCAAATTTCGATAGGCATTTATACTACTCTGATCAGAGATGTTTTCATCTTTAATTTTTGTATTTATTTATTTTTTTTGTTTTATTATGTAAATTGGATTAACTGATTGTGAGCAGAGAATGTCTGGTGCTTTAATGGTCCCACAATTAGGATTTAGAATTGGACCTAGAGATGGTACAGGACAAGTGTATTATGCGAAGCAGTTAGTAGGTAGCAAGCGTGTTCATTTTGGTTTTGGCTCCCGAGCAAGAATTTGCTTGAATAATGTGTGTTATGGAAGTTAATAACTGAGTGTAGTGGTCTAGATGTTGAAAATGAAGAAATGTCAGACATGTAACTCCTTGGCATATATTGTTGATTGGACGTGTTTATTTGATTACCATACAGAAACAGATTAATGTCTTAACAACTTGGCTGAATCTTTTCTTTTTGAACAGGTTAAAGTGCTTACCATCTGCGAATCGAGAAACAAGGATAAACTGGATGGTAATCCTAAGATGATTTTGCTTCTTTTGTTTTTTTTATTTCAAATTTTTTGTTTGAGTTACCATGTTTGGTCCCTTCAAATTTACTGTGCAATGCTCTGTCAATGGGTTCAAGAAGTGGACTAAGACATGCGAGAGGCACACAAACTACACTGAAGATCAGCTTTTGTAAGTGGTTCCTTATGCTTTTCACACATTAATGAATTTTATTGCTAGCTATGATGATCTAATGATCCCAACAAACTTTGTGCACAGGTGGAACCAGCTGAAGATTGATGGGGTGTTCGTGGCTATGATTGAAGGGTCTAATTTCATTGGAAAGTTTGGCAGCTACTGCAAGTTCTTTCTACTTGTTAGGGAAGAGAATCTTTTAGTTTGTGCACATGAGGATCTTTTAGTTTGTCCACAAGAGAATCTTTCAAGTTTGTACTTGTTAGGAATTTGCTATGTTAGTACTTGTTACTGATTTTTAGTTCAATAAATTATATTTGAGCATTGATTTTTGCTTTTAGATTACTATATGCATTCTGTTCTTTGGGATAATTTTACAAGTCCTTTGGGTTTCTGATTGACGGAATGTATAGCAGGGAGCACTACCTGCACGTTGCTTCTATATCAAAAAAAAGAAAAAAAAAATCCTGACAATTAAAAGTGTCAGCATAGAATTCGATATTGTAATGTTGTACTATAGCTATCCTGACACTTTCGATTATCAAGAAAAGGAATTTTCGTTGGCAGATGAGATGTTATAACAACACAGTTTTCCTGACACATTTGAATATTACATACCTATCCCTACATTGGAAGGGACGACACTCGTCCTAGGTGTGAGGAAAAGTAAAGTGTCAGGTTAAATTATCTATACTGACACCTTTAAATGCCGTTAAAGGGCATTTTTGTTGTAGTGTATCCTAAAACAAGCCACTGTCTCTTTCTCAATTTCATCTTCTTTCGAACTACAGTCACCTCTATTTTTTTTTCTATAGTGTTTCTCCCTTCATTATCGACTTTCTTTCTCATTGTTCTCACTTTGCGCCATCTTTAATTTCTCATCAAAAAGTTACCAATCCTAGTGGAGTACAAACAATTTACAACCCCTTTTCTGTTCTTTTATCTTCTTCTAAATTTTTCATTATGTTCTCTGATCATCTTGTAGAAAGTTTAGTTTCTTACAAACTAGTTTTACAAAGATGAATTGGCAAGGCATTTTGGTTTCGCCTAGGTGGGGCGAAATCCCTGAGATATGGGCGTAAGCCTCACAAATTTTTATTTTTTTAATATTTAAGAATATGTAGAAATAAAAAATTATGAAATTTATGAAAATAATAAATGAAAATTTCAAATACGTACAAAAAAGTAAAATAAATCATAGAAACAATATAATGCTTTTTTAATGTAGGGTAGTAGTAATATAGATGATATTTGAAATTTCATGTATTTTGAGAGAATTCAGAATTTTAGATTAGTCAAAGTTGAACAAATTAACAGTTACCTCCTCATTATAAAAGAAATTAAGTGTAGTTGCAAATTTTGGGATTTAGCCAATACTGAGAGTCTTTACAGATAACAAACTATTTAAGACTTATCATAGAATCAGTCACCTTTTCTCTTTCAACTTCAAAGGGGTGAGAAGAAAATGTACTGAAAAAAATGGTGGGACTTGACTAATACCAAAGGCAAAGAGGGCTTAGGATTTTGAGATATAAAGTGCTTTAATAAAGCCCTACTTGCCAAACAAGTGTGGAGACTACTAACAAAACCTGAATTGCTGGTCAGTAAGGTTATGAGAGGAAAATATTTCCCAAACTCCTCTATCTTGCAGGCCAAAGTAAACTCAGGCTCTTCTTGGATTTGGCAGAGCATTCATTCATAGTGTAATTCCTTTGCTAGAACATGGCCTAGACAAATAGGGAATGCACAAGCTTACGCGATTGCAGGAATAAAAATAGGTCAGCCCGTTCACAACCTGCGTAAATGCATCGTAATGTTTCATGGGCATATCAAGAAACTTGACAAACTGTTCTACTAGAACTTTCCATTCCCCGTCCAGACATTTCAGGCTGGCGTAATGGAAGCAGACTCGGTGCCCATCGTCTGCCCTTCTGTATTTATAAACAAGTAGGCCACCAAGGCTAGGGTTGCGAGCGTTGTAATCTCTAATGAAGCTAGAATCACGAATAATTGAACGCCAACTCTTGGAAACAAACTTGCATTGGAATACATTCTTGATTGGAATCCTTGTGAGCACTTCTGATACCACATCATCGGGGATTACTTCTTCAATACTCGTATGGGAACTACACTTCATAAGCAGCCATGATCCATTCTTCTTATCCTTCTCCTTGTCTGATATGAAGAGCAACTATAACTGCCAGCTCGGATGCTAGCACGGATCCTATGGCAGAGACGTCTTTAGGAAAGACACGCGCATGTGCAGAGTTAGTTAGTTTGTTAGATTTCAGTTAGAATAAATGGCTACGATGCCTAGTTAGTTACGGGTAAGCCAAATGTATAAAACACGAGAAGATAGAGGCGGGAAAGGCAGTCTTATGCATTATCGTTGCTTCTCCCCAAATTGTATCTTGTTCTCCAAGTCGTACCTCTCATCTAAGATGACCATTGATCGCCGGTCAGTCTCATCCTCCTTGTAATCAATTTCCAGAATTGTTCCTTCGCCACCCCCTTCTTCTCTTGGTCCAGCTCGGACCGGGTGGAGGCAAGCTGGACCTGGGACTCCTCCAGCCCTTCTCAGCCTTGCCCAACTTGGCCTTAAGGGAGTCTACCTCCTTAAGTGCCTTGGCGAGCTTCTGCTCGCCTTCCCGATTCTTCTTTTGCATCTTCTCCAAGTCGGGAGACAGTTCGGAGAAGCGGGTCACCAGGGCAGCACCGGCGGCGTTGGCCTGAAGAAATGAGAGTAAGAGTTAGCATACTACTAACCCCATTCAGAGAAGGAACAGGGACCCCAGGGGCCTAAAAGGGAGAGGGCTTACTTGGGCCTGGGCGGTGTAGTACATATCTTGGAGTTCGGACGGGCTGGCCAGCTCCATCCACTTTTTGTCGCATGGAAGGACTGAGCCCGTGACCAGCTCACGAGCCACCTCGGGGAATTGGGCTCGGTCATTGATGGAGAGCTCCCAGGACGGGCAGAAGTGCCGGGGATCGTGCATCGTGAGGGCCTGCCCCGGCTTCGAGGGGGCCACGTGGCGGAAGTGCCACAAGCTCGGGGGGCGCTCTCCTAGGCGTGCTCCTCCGCGGAGCCTACCCCCAGGTGGACGGGCCCCCCCGACGTCAGCTGGAGAGAGCGCTGTGCCGAGCCCTGCGCAGGTTTCCTCCCGGGTTGGGAAGGCTCGTCCTCTCGCCCCCTCTTCTGCCCCGTTGCTTTCTTCTTGCCGGGGGCCTGCTTGGAGGGGGACTGAGCCTAAGAGCCCTCCTTCTGGGGGACCGAGCTGCCCCCAGGAGTCGCAGAGGCCTCAGGTGCTTTCTTCGCCGCCTCAGGCTGTGTAATGGAGGCGACCTCCTCGGTCGGGCCGCCCAATAGCCTGGAGAGCCTCTTCACTGCAGAGAACACCACCGGATTAGTGCTACCGGTCAGAAAAATAAAGGGGAAAAGGCAACAGATAACAAGGGAACATGTACAGTATTACAGGTATCTCGGTCGGCAGGGGAGAACGCCACCCCTCCGGGGGACCCGGAAAGCTTCCCCAACAGCCCGGCCGCGGAAATCTGCTCGGTGGGGAACTTGGCTGCGTACAGCTTCACCGCAGAGCCCAGCAGCTGGCCAAAAGCCTCAGGGTCCAGGTCCTCCGAACAGGGGTCGTCCCCGACCCCCCCAACCTTTCACGCATTGGGAGGAAATTGCGTGATTTTAACGAAAAAGAAGTCCCCCTTCCAGTTTTTTACGGAAGAGGGGACCCCGTGTAGAAGGTCCTGGGTGCCCTTCCCGCCGCGATTGCTGGGGGACGGCGGCAGAAGTAGTACCACCCAGGGAGAGAGGCCTTGAGGGCGTAGGTAGCACAGAAGAGAGAGAGAGAATAGGGGATGGAGCAGATCTGGCAGTAGATCAAGAATCCGATGATGATCCTGATCGAGTTAGGGTGGACCTAGGTGATCCTGAGCTCTCAGAAGCTCAGGATCTCGGCCAGGGTCGGAGGAATGGGGAGTCGGAGCCCCGCGACCAGTTGCTCTTTGTAAAAGGCTACAAAACCTGGGGGAGGTCGGTATGCTCGATCGGTGGGCTCGGCAACTCGCGGCTCGTAGGCCGGGGGAATGGAGAATGATGCGGCCAACTCGGCCACCGCCCCGGGTGAGAGGGTGACCTCCTTCCGATCGGGGTGACCGTAATTGAACTCGGAGTCGTCCCCCTGCTCGGAAGCAGGGGTCCCCTCGGAGGAGTCCCTGTCCTCCCCAGCTCCCCCCTGGGCTCCGCCAGGGGAGTTGTGTGGAGACTTGGGGGAGGGGATGGAAGTGGCTTGCTGCTCGATGAGGGCATCGAGCTCGGCCACCTCTTCCAGGAGTCGAGCAGAAGGAGAATGGGCGGATGGAGAGCTCATGATGTCAATGGGCTCTAACAAGTCAGGAATGGGAAAATTGGGATTGGAAGAACAAGAAGAAGGAGGAGGAGGAGAAAATGAAGATGAAGACGATGAGGATGAGGACGAAGAAGAGATGAAGATTTTGGAGGCTCTACGACTGGCCGGAATCTGGGATGCGGTGGAAGTGACGTCGGAGTGACCCGACATAAAATGCAGGAGGTGGCAAAAGGAGGAAAGGAAATGCGAAAGAAGGGAGGAAAGAACTTACTGATGATCGGAGTGAAAGAAGGGTTGGAGAAGTCACCGGAATCTGGGTGTTGGAAGCCGGAAGCCCTGTCGCTGGGAATTGGAAATGCACGAGGAAAGGAGAAAATGACAAATAGAGTTAAACGAAATTTGGCACCCCCTACTTATAGGGGACGAAATGGGGGGGAAACGGTTTGCTTGAATTCGAACCGCCCCATGTGAACGCATTTAGGAAGCGGTACAGAGACCGAGGGGACGCGACAACTGAAAGGACGCGGGCGCAGCTTTCCAGTAGCGGCACTGTACTGGAGGTGACCGTGGCAGAGCAGGGCGCAGTGCTGGCCTCCCACGTGGCAGGGTTACAGATTAGGTCTGCTCGGAGACCCCACCTAATCTGGGGGGTTGGTCAAAGACCCTACCTGGGCCTGGACACGTGGCAGCTCAGGGTGACCCGAGCTGGGCTTGGAACCCGGACCCATGGGGAACCAGCCCAGGACACGCGGCGGCTAGGGCTCCGCGGGGCTCCAGAGAGCTATCCCGCAGAGGGCGGGGAGAATCCCCCTCATCGCGGGACTGGCAGCTATCCAGGGCAAGTCCCGAAACGTACGGAGGTCGGACTCCTCGGCAGGTATAAACAGTAACGCACAATGACTGCGCAAGGTACGCTCACTATTGGCAACTCACTCCCGACTGCCTTACTGTTAGTACATTCCCTACTCACCGGAAAACTAACTTGACTGTCGGAGTGCCCTCGGGAACGACCTCGGGGCCCCTGTCAGTCCACCCTCCTGTTTATCTTTCAGGCTTAGGACGCGCTCTATCCATCATCGATCCGAGCTCATCAGGTCAGCTCGGTCCGGGGAAGTTCCGTGCTTCTTCAACATTCCCTGATTCCCATTTTATTTTCGACATCCAAATTCAAAGTCTAAAGGAATTCAGGTTGCAGGATTATAGGGATAATTTCAAAAACCTCCCTTGAGATTTTTAACAATATCATTTAGCTCCCTCGAGATTTTTAAAATTACACATACCTCCCTTATCATTTAAAATGACAATACTACCCTTAAATATTTTAATGAAATTTCCTTTTTTGGTCTGCTTATACTTAGAATGACTTTTAAAATTATTTTTTCATTCTTTTTCATTCTTTTTCCTTCTTATTCCTTTTTATTTTAATTTTTTGCTAATAAAATTATAAAACTACTACTATTACCTCTAGTTTCTATTGTAACCAAATGTCAAATTAGTGATTTTTTGGATGAGTTAACTTTATACGTAATCCAATGTGTTTTGCTAATCTTTGTTTTCTATTTTTTGGTATTAAAATTAACAATAAATAAAAAAGAAATTACCCAAAACCACTACTAAATTATGATAATCCCACCACTCAAAAAATTCATAAACTCTAAATCAATTATTTCGACATTTTCTTTTCTATCTTATAAATATAAATCCATAATAAAATACTATCAAAAGTATTCTATTATAGTGATAAAATTATTTTATAATTATTTATCAAATAGTAGGTATGAGCATGAAAAATTTGGCATCTTTTTCTTATAATTACACTAGATAATCTTATAATTGTATAAGAAAAATAAATTAAAACTGTGACAGCCCCACCTCACCTTAAGGCGAACCAAAGGGTTCAGCGGACCGCCTGCCCAACTCTCGCCAGGACTACGGAGTCGAATCACACAAATCCGATATTACGCGAGATAGGACCCAAAAGAAATGAACGATTGAAGACCGCCAAGCTTAAACATGGAGAAAACGCTTTCATATATACATGTCGCTAGGTTTACAATTCAAATGGAACCAGTGAAACGAAATACATTTAGGGTTTGCTCATTCTCGAGGAGCTATACAAAAGAACAAAAGATTTCCTAACTAGCTCAACTCGCTTCTCAAAATCATGATTTCCAAAAAAGGTTCTTGTAAGGAAACAAAGATAACGAGGAGGGGGTGAGCTTACGCCCAATGAGGTACCAAACATGTAGCAGAAAAATCAGGTATTTCACGTTAAAGTAAGACATGTAAACACAAGAACTCAAATAGGAAGGATACAGGTGGCTCTCAGGAGCCAGCTTTCCAGCGCAGTACTTGATCCAAGCCGGTTGACTCTCCGTCAACGTATATAGAACCAACACGTCCGTAGACCCCACTTTACATCAAATTCCGTCCACCAAACACCCCTTTACCGGGCCCGCTCACCTCAACAGAAACAGAAATGGTAATACTCGAGTATACCGGAATCAAGGGTCTCAATACCCAAAGATCCCAAAACAGACTACCGTGGTTCGTTATCTAATCGTCCAGACCCTTGCCGGCCCGACTCGAATAATTTAGCCACAAGATTTGAGCTCATAGGTCACAGAAAGGTCGTTGGTTACAAGTGTCCAAATGACGTCCGAATAGATACAGATACAGATACAGATACAGATTCAGATTCAGATTGACACCAAAATTGGCATATGAACAGACAAAAGAACGAGTGTGATAAAGTACACCCTCGTCTCAAACAAATTAAACAGATTGCAGAGCAGAAATCAAGTTAAACAGCAATGGAGGGGAGTGGTACACTCACCGGTTCAAGTACAGATACCTCAAAAGTTTTCACTTCGGATTGGCTTTAATCGCCAAGAAACCCTAAAATAATCAAAGTAAACCAATTGAAGGTTTCACATCTAGAATCGAGTAAACAAAATGCATATGTGAGGCTCGACTACTAGTCGTATGCCTCGCCAAATAATTACTATTGCAAAGGTACAAAACATGATTTTTGGGAACAAAAAGGTAACATGAAGACCTAGATTCAACAACCTAAAAGCCCTTCATTTCTATCACAAGCCAATTCAAAATTAAAGGAACCAATCGGCCTAGAAAAATTGGACAGCACTTCCCCTAAATTTCTTACTTTTTCAGCCATCACGGCTTCATTATATTCCTCAATCAACTCCCAAAGTCATACTCAATATACATTCATCATCACAGCCGTTCAATAGGCTCAAGGTTATCCAAGTACAAAGTTAGCTAGGAAAATGACCGGAAATAAAAGTCAAGCCCTAGAATATTTCAATAAGCACAAGAAGACTCGATTACAAGTCATAAACCGATGCCAACACGATCACAATAGGGTTCCATAAGCATATATAAGCATTAGAGGAAACCAGAAAAATCCGGAAATGGAATTAGCTTTAGCCCTGAAAAAATAGTTTTTGACCTCATTTTGCGGTAATGGCACCAATTTCACTACGATTATTGGATGAGGGTGCAAGACCCACCATTTCGAAGCTAAAAGACAGAGCTACAACATCACAGCAGGTCACTCAACCCAGTTTTGAGTGCAAACAGGTCAAAAATGCAAGATACTACATCAAAACGTAAAACAGATTCACCAAAACGCATTCTAGCGGAAACATCATAACTCAGGCTTTCCAAGTTCAAATCCAGCAATTCCAAAACCAACTGAAAGCTAAGAAACAGGGCTAAATTTCATCAGAAGGCCTCAACAACCAATTCGGAAGCAATCCCAACCAAAACAACCAATTACAGGCGCAATTCTTACATTCGGATAAAACCAGAACAGCAATAATAATTTTGACTTTTCTCACTCTACACTACTCCGATTGACCTGAAATTTTGTAGGCACCTCTAAAATGTTATTCCCTACAACTTTCATGTTTTAAGCCAAGACCAATTCGGCCTCTAACTAGGAGCTAAAAATTCGGGCAGAATGCTCCCTTAAGAACCCTAATTTTCTGAAATTTCTTCCAAACCAGAAATTGGTTGCAATTCATCACTTTTTCCACCTTCTAGCTTCATTACATAACATTTCCAATCATCATACATGACCACACAATCATGCTTATATTAAAACAGAAAATCCCCAAAAATAATAAAACTTCATCACTTCAACCACAAATCAAGAAATAATCCATAATATTGCATCTCATACCACCACTAATCATGATTTAAGCATCAATTAAGGGAGGAGAGGGGTTCATCCACTACTCACCTTAGTAAAACAAGAGGGAGAGCAACTTGTCACCTTAGCTTCCCAAACAACTCCACCAAACAACTCACAAACACTAAGTGAAGAGGTTTTATGGAGTAAAACTAAAATTAAACGGTTAAAAGTAAAGATTAAGCAAGCTTGGAGCAAAGAAATTGGAGAGCTTTTCTTCCCTTATTGCTTGAAGGTGGCCGGCCATATGAAGCTTAGAAATGAAGATATTTTGGTCAATTTTTGAAGTTATTATGGTAAATGGTAAAAGGTTGAATAGTAAGTCAAAACAAGATTTAATCATATGGTGACACATGTCACCTTCATTAAATGTATGCCTAACTTTTGTGTCTCTCTTACAACAATCCACTTGGCAACCTCTAGATATCTCATAACACCTGGTAAATTAATTCCAGTGTCCAAAACTTAACCTAGTTGGCCGAATTTTACCGAACTTTCCGCACTAGCGGGTCCTACGTCCAATATACGCTCT